GCTTTGTCTTGCATCGACTGTCGTTCCAACGTGGTTGTGGGAACCCTAAATGGGGCTGGTGGCTGCATCCCCATTGAGGCCCCTGGCCGGATGTACACGTCCAGCGCCATGACGCAGCCCTGGGAGGCCCCACCAAGGAAGAGCCGCCGGCCATCACCTACGGACCGAAACAAGAACCAAAATGCACGGATGTTGGGGTCATCCGGTAGCATTGATCCGATGGCTCTGACCATGTGGCTTGCTGACGATGGCAATGATGCTCACATTGATGACCACAACGGTGACGGTGACAATGACGATGATCTGGAGGAGCAGGACGATGGCGACGATGATGACTGATGATGACTGATGATGACGATGATGACGATGAGAGTGACAATGACTGCTGATGATGATGACGATGATGATGCTGATGACCGTGAAAGCAGTTGCAGTGATGATGATGATGATGATGATGATGATGATGATGATGATGAAGAGGAGGAGGAGGAGGAGGAGCATAAAAATGACCACGATGACGACGCCGCATCCCTTGTAAGGCAGGCTAGCAAGTGTCTGTGTCCCAAGTTTTGTCCCCGTGCCGGGCCAGCACTCGCCTTCGCTCGGCTCTTGTTTCACGGCTGCTGGGAGTATCTTGAGCTTGTGGGCTTGCTTTGCTGCAAAGAAAACAACACGTGCTGAAGTCCCACCGCTTGGACGTAACCTGCCTACCTTGCGATTCCCAGCACTCTTGTAAGACCTTCTACAAGCAAGAAAAGCATGAAATGCGCCCAATCAAATGTCACATCAAAGCAAAGCCAGTCAGTGCGCAAGGTGTTAGGAAAAAAAGGAGAAGAAGTAAACAACTCAGCATCACAGCCGCATTTCGCTCCCCTCGCCCCACGCGCCTAGCCGCTCCACCTCTGCGTGGACCATGCTGTCCAAACGCCGCCGCGTTGCACGCAAGCTTTCGGCATCGCCCACCTTGCAAGAAAGCAAAGAATCCAGCACGGCAGCCCCAAACCTGGCACCTACTGCACCACCTGACCATAGGCACTCCCTACAGCTGGTAACTGGTACACATGCTTCTACTCAATCTATCTACATATGCCAAGGGACGAATTTGTGGCCACATCGCTTTGAATTCACATTCTGATATGCTGATGTGGTAAAGCGCTGCAGCCTTCCAACTCATTCAAAATTGTTCGATCAGGTGACCCTGCGATTCGCCACGAGAGAGAGTGACTCCAAAAGGATGTAGGGCATAGGTGGGGTTCCAGCCCCGCTCACAACCCTGGGAAAAAGTATCATTCCAGCAACAGGACCATCCATGGAAAAAGCATGAGCCGTGCCCCTTTATGATAGGTGAACAATGGAAACCAACCAAGAGGAAGGTCCCCCAAGACACACCCAAATGAGAGTGTCTTCAAGAAGGATATGGAAACCCCAGAATGGTTTTCGGTTTTCCCGTTGGTTTCGTACCAGCTAGCCCACCGCACCACACGGGCTCTGTGCGGCTCAAAGGCACGGTTGTGGTTGGGCGCAGCATAGCCATACCTCAGCAAGGAGATCAAAATGGATCGAAGCAAAAGCTTCACGTTTTGCACTTTGAAGCCCCACAAGGCTTTGAATGATCTTCTAGGTATTCTTGATACTCGACAATCTTCCCCTTCTCAAAGGTCGAAAAACAAACATGTCATATTTGGGGAGGACAATGGAAGGTTCCATCCTCGGAGAAGCCCATTATGTGGCCTTGGTAAGGCCAAGCCTGTGTCACCCACCTACTGTTTCCTCAGCTCGATGTTCCATATTGAGCTCTTTGAAATAAAGGCTTCTACTAGGACCTAAATAAGAAACTAACCAAATGTGTACAACACTTCTTCGGCAAATATAGGGCTTTGGCGTAGGGGGCGGATGTGGGCGGATTTGGATTTCCTTCCAAAGAAAGTGAAAGTCCTTGTCAAAGGGAAGGGGTACCACACTGAGAACTGACTTCCTGCTTAGCATCAAAAATATGGATTCATGATCGTCAGGTCACCCTCAGCTAAGCACAGCTCGTCCGTCACCCTCACGACCTCCAGCCTGTTAGGCCTGCGGCCCGTTGCTACCCGACCAATAGAACTCCCGGTTGACCGAGGGCCCCGACCAGGAGGTGCCAGTCTCGCCCCAGGGCTGGCGCAGGCATGAGGCTGTGGGCAGCACCGCCCGCAAACCTCACCCCACGCAGTGAGTAGAAGTGGTTGCCTCAAGAAAGGAAACCCTAAGCCACCCAAAGAACTGCAAAGGACCCCCTATGCTTGGTTTCGGTTTCTGTTCCACAAGGAGCTTTGGGCGGATCAAGGTTTGTAAGCTTTGTTATTTTCCTTGTTTGCATGTATGTGCAGAATGTGTCATTGTTGTGCCTTGGGAAGTGTTGTATTTTCCATATCTCGGGATCCTATTTCTAGAAGCTCAGCCAACAGATCTTCGAGCACATAGCTTACATAGCTTGTTGAAAACCGTGCCACTGTAAAGTTCATCTGCGCCATGCATTGGAGTCCCTTCGCTCCAACCAGCGTGCCAGAGATAGAGACCGAGACAGAGACCGAGGCAGCAGAGGCAAAAACCCAGGAAACGGCAAAGGCAAATGCAGAGGCAGAGACGAGACAGCACGGGATGAAGACGGATGCAGACGAAGTGACGAGACAGAGAGACAAAACGACAGAAAACAGAGAGACAGACAGAGAGACAGAGAGAGAGAGAGAGAGACAGAGAGAGAGAGACAGAGACAGAGACAGAGACAGAGACAGAGACAGAGACAGAGACAGAGACAGAGAGAAAGACAGAGACAGAGACAGAGACAGAGAGACAGACAGACAGAGAGACAGAGAGAGAGAGAGAGAGAGACAGAGAGGCAGAGAAACACAGAGACAGAGACAGAGAGACAGAGAGAGAGAGAGAGAGACAGAGACAGAGACAGAGACAGAGACAGAGAGACAGAGAGACAGAGCGGCAGAGAGACAGAGAGACAGAGAGAGAGAGAGCGGCAGGCAGAGAGACACAGAGACAGACAGAGAGACAGAGAGACAGAGAGGCAGAGAGACACAGAGACAGACAGAGAGACAGAGAGAGAGAGAGAGAGACAGAGAAAGACAGAGAGACACGAAGACACAGAGACACAAAGACACAGAGACACAGAGACACAGAGACACAGAGACACAGAGACACAGAGACACAGAGATACAGAGACACAGGGACACAGAGACACAGAGACACAGAGACACAGAGGCACAGAGACACAGAGACACAGAGACACAGAGACACAGAGACACAGAGACACAGAGACACAGAGACACAGAGACACAGAGACACAGAGACACAGAGACACAGAGACACAGAGACACAGAGACACAGAGACACAGAGACACAGAGACACAGAGACACAGAGACACAGAGACACAGAGACACAGAGACACAGAGACACAGAGACACAGAGACACAGAGACACAGAGACACAGAGACACAGAGACACAGAGACACAGAGACACAGAGACACAGAGACACAGAGACACAGAGACACAGAGACACAGAGACACAGAGACAGAGAAACAGAGAGACAGAGAGACAGAGAGACAGAGAGACAGAGAAACAGAGAAACAGAGAGACAGAGAGACACAGAGACAGAGAGAGACACAGAGAGACAGAGAGACAGAGAGACAGAGACACAGAGAGACAGAGAGACAGAGAGAGACAGAGAGACAGAGAGACAGAGAGAGGCAGAGAGACAGAGAGGCAGAGAGACAGAGAGACAGACAGAGAGACAGAGAGACAAAGAGACAGAGAGACAGAGAGACAGAGAGACAGCGAGACAGAGAGACAGAGCGACAGAGCGACAGAGAGACAGAGAGAGGGCGAGGGAGAGAGAGAGGGGGGAGGGGGGAGGGGACAAAAGACAAAGGCTGACTGAAAGATTCGACAGCTCGGACTCGCACGACACTTCAAGTGCCTTCCTTCCGGCTTGGGTGGGAAAATGGGGACTGCGCAAATTGGAATGCGGATGGCCAACCACACATTTGCACCAATCAACGTGACGTACATACTGAAAATGAACAACCCCCCTTCAAACCTTGATCATGGGGCGAGCCACCCTGTGCCACAGCTTGTCACACATCTAGGGAAGCCTAGATTTGATAGTGAAAGCCTGCCCCAAGGACCGCGGTTGATGGACGTGGAGAACCGGAGAAAAAAGAAAAAAACTAACGGACTTTTCTGGTTGGAGGGGTATCCCCTGGTTTTGCTCCAAATTGGCTTGCCTCCCAAGAAGCTGTTCGCATGTTGGTCGCTCCCCGATTTGTGCCGGAGATCAGCTTCTTACAGAGCCTGCTTCAAGCTACTTTGTTGCTTAGCTTAACTTCTTCTGGGGTCAGCCTGGCTCCAACACAAGGCCTTGCAGGGGTGCCTTCCGCTCGTCCCTTTGGCCCTACCATGCGCCTGAACCCGAACCGGTCAAGCCAACCGGAAGCGCATATCAGCGCCTCTGGCTCGATCGCCGCCCGGGACCCAGGGCATGCAAAAGCCCAAACGGCCCTTCGGCAGGTACTCAGGGCCTGAGGCAATGCACTTTCGAGCAGTGCACCGGCAGCAAAGCAGAAAATGGATTGGAACAATCTTCTCCATGTTCAACGGGTCCGGCAACACGTTGGCGATGCTTTCTTTCTGGGACACCCTGGTGAGCCCCTTGCTTTGCCACCATGGGAAAACCCTGGATGTCTACCCAAGAAACCTGCTGGAACAGTGCTATCCGCTCACTGACAGCGTTCCCCCCTTCCTTTCAAACATCCCGGTTAAATCATCTAAAAGGTGGCCCAACATGTGTTCAACATTGAAAGGTGTTTACAGTCACAGTTATCAAGGACCCGACAAAGAAAAGCCTGCAGTAGCATGTCTCATGCTTCAACCCGATCGCTCAGCCCGGGAACAATCCCTGGGCAGCCCCACCACAGCGGCTGAAACCGTGCAAGTACACCATGGTGCAGCAGTGCCTGCATTTCATCCACCGGCCGGAAGATTCCAGCAGTCTGGGAATCTAGTGACGTTATTTTGAGCAGCTTGCCAGCTGCCAAAACATAAACAACATTTGATTGTCTTCCAGCACCCATACTTGCAATGACTTCCTGAGCTATGCGCAGCGCTCTAAGCGCGCCAACAAAACAGCTTCCAAGCGCAGCAAGCTCGAGTGAAACTTCTTCGTCAGCATTTCATCCCCGGGTCTGATTGCCACCAAGCAACCAACCATTCTAGAAACAGTACCTTCTGTCCTTGCGCAAAAGATGCCCCTTGCACGTCTGTTTCTCAGCCAAATCACCTGCCCCCATCAGCCTTGTTCGAGTAGTAGTAGTCGAGGGCCACGCCTACAAATAAATTTGTTTCATCCATACACCCCACCCTACAACTTGTTTCATCTTCCATCTTCTACCCTTATTCGTTTTCATCATTTTTCTACATTCCTTTCTGTCCATCTCATCCGTTTTTTCTCATCATTTTTCCATTTTTTTCGCCATCCTTTATCCTTCCTCCTCACCTCATTCATTTCACCAGCTACCCTTCAAAGTATCATTTCATCAATCTCCTCACCTCATCCATTTCAAAAAAAAAATAAAAATATAGTGCAGAAAATATTTGTCATCAAAAAAATATCGAACTGTCTAAAAACGATTTGTCCATTTCTCGGACAAAAAACAGAACAGCAACAACATCACTCCCCTCCTTCGTTTCATCAGCTTCATCATACATTTTTTAGGCGTGGTGCTCCTTGTAGGTTTTTATCTTCAATATATAAAACGATATACTTACATTATAATTATAACATATAAGGGTTTAAATGTTATAATCATAGTATGATTTTAATCGTTATGGGTTAAAAAAATAGTCAGGCAATATGTCTTCAAATATGTAATCTACATATTATCTATATCATCTTTATCTATATATTTGATATTGTCTTTTCCTATTATTGAACAAATATATTCCCAGAAAAACAAATTAACTAGTAGACATACTTTATATTTAGTGTTGTAGTAATACCATATACTATATTTAGTTGCTCTAAATTCTTTCAAGACCTCGTTTATTTTATCTTTGTTTAAAAAATGCCAATCAATCCGTGCAAACAAATAACGGTATTTTTGACAAATGCGTTATATGGTTTAATTGCGTTTGTTCCTGCAAACCTCTTCATTAAATCTTCATTACTAAAAAATTTATCAATTTCTTTTTCAACTGACTTTCTGGAAATCTTATGGTAAAATTGTATAGGAAATATTGCTTGGTATTGCATAAAGAAACTTAATTGTAATTGAAACTTTGTGTGTCCCTTATCCTTATGTTCTTCAACAAAAAACTTTCCAAGGTCTCTTGTTATACAGCATTGATTACAAAATACATTATATTCACTTATTTTATTACATATATTGGCGGGTAATAACTTATACAATGTTATATTAACATCATTCCTTTTAGTTTTACAACATTCGCACTTTGAATAATTAAATAACATTTCCACTATAATATATATCGTGTTTATTTATTTAAATACGTTTCTACAAGAAATAAAATTAAATATTGAAATAAAAAAATAACATATGACATGTTCCATGTTATTATTATAGTATGGATATAATTCAAATTCAGGATAATAAGTTAATTGATACATCTTGCTTCTTTCATGCATCATTTTAAAATAATATTAATATATCCCACTGTATTTTTAACATTAAACTTTTTACTTTCAATATATGATGTAATGTCTTCTTTTACATCAAACCCTTCTCTTCTACGATATAACAACATCCATAATATGCGGTCAATCATTTCATATCTTTTATTACTAACTTTAAGAAACTGTTTAACATAATCATAAGGTGGGATTTTGTAAACATTTAGGAATATTAAAATATCGTCTTCAACATTTCTATTATGTCTTCTCTTTATTCTCAACGCACACTTGATTATAGCTTGAGTATCTCTCCATTCCTGACAAGTTCTACATACATCTTCTTCACCCAAAGCATAATCAATCATATTATTAACTATTCCATTAGGTAAATTCAATTTGTATAATTCCATATTTTGTTTTCTGAAGTGGCAACAGTCGTAGCATTTCTTATTCATATACCTATTGATTTCGATTTCCACCATTTCTATTATAAATATAGTTTTTATTTCTTTAAATACTTTTTTCCAAGAAATATTTATACATTTAATAACTCATGTCTCAAAAAAGCCCTGTCAGAATTTTCAATAAAATAATATTCCTGTCCTAACTTATTTTCAATCTTTGCTATTTTGTAGGTTTGTTTAGTCCATACTCCTACTCTCTCCTTTTCATTTGGTCTCCTTTTTTTGAATATTTTAACTTCATTTCCTACATTTAAATCTGGATAAACTCTATTTCTTTTGGCTTTCATACCTAAGTTTAAACTCACTTCTAATTGATGTTTAGGCTGTCTTGCTTCTGACGGTGTTAAGCCGTGCGAAGTGTGCTTTATTCCATTGTAATAAGTTAATATAATCTCGTGTATGTAGTCTGTCCATTGAATAGCCTTTCCTTTTTTCTCATCGTTTTCAACCCTCTTATACAAGCTATCTTTAAACGTCCGTATCGCCCTCTCTGCGAATGCTGGGTGTCCTCTGGTTCTGTGCAGCTCTATTTTTCACCCTTCAAGAAATCTATAACACTTTGATTGTTATAAGCTCCTTCATCGTCAATATAAATTAGTTTGGGCTTTCCATCCAATGTTTAACACATTCCATCAGTCCTGCTAAAATGTCCGCTGGCTGTTTTGACATAAGCGGGACAACAACCATATACTTAAAAAATATGTCAATACACATCATACCAACTTTCATTTTTTGTTTAGGGATATCATTAATGAAAAATAAATCAATTTGAAACTCATAATATGCGTTAGGAGCTACAAATGAATTCTGCCCCCCTCTCGGTTTAGCTTTCGTTATTGTGTTATCCTTTTTCCTTGCTTCTTGTAAAGTGCGATTCTTTGACCCGAAGACTCCCTTAGCATAATAAACATTATTAATAATATCTTGCTTAGATGCCATATAAAATGAGATAGATATTACTTTTCCCGGCGATTACAGTTTAAACAGTAAAATATACAGTTTTCCTTATGATGGGGATAATCGTTGTTTATTCTTTGGGCTGTCATATTACCATGTATTACTCCAGTATTGATGTCTATGTCAAACTCTGAACTGCATTTATTACATCTGGTATTAAGCCTGTCAAATAACCATTTGACATCAACATATTTTTTGTTGTCTATCTCTCTCTCTCTGCTTTCATGTCTTGTAATTTGTACTGTTTAATCTTATGTTCTAAATATCTGGTTACTTGTGCTTCGTTTAAATCAGTATCGTCTATGTCTGCTTTGAAAAACTTGACTTTATTGATATCTCTGCACCTTGTAATCGCTGTGTAAATCCACTCACGGCTGACCAGTAGTTCTTTAACATACCTAAAGCCATTGGTTCAGTCTTGTGTATTTGTCATTGTCAATGTGTAATAATTGACTTCCGTTTCTTTTTCTACGATTTCAACATTATAGTATTTGCCGTCCTTAACTCTATAGTGTCCGATACAACCATTCAAATTGTATCCACTATCACCATACATATTCCATTTCCCCCCTATTGCATGTCCTACTCTCAATTCTTGTTCTAATTCTTTAATATATTCATCTGTCATCTCTGTCAGTTCCGCGTCATCATAAAATCCACTAATCGTATTAATTCTTCCCCGCTTCACTTAATGTATCAAATACTAAACTCTTCTGACACTTGTTAGTTCCCTTTTCTAACAATCCGATATTTACATTCGAAATCAACTTCTTAACCTTGATGTCTTCACCTAAATTATTTGATATGTTAGTCTTCCATAGGTTCTCAACTATACTTTTATAATCTACTTCATAAATCGAAGAAGGCTTTTTGAAATATAAAATTTCGACTTCGTCAACAAACTCTCCTAAAAACAGGCCATATATTAAATTATATTGTTTATTAAAAATAATGATGTGTGTTGTCCAGTAAACTTAACTAAGAATAAACATAATTCTCCCATGTTATTAAAATCATGTTTACCATAATCATAAGGCATCCAAATGTCAAATTGTTTAAACACTGGAAGTTTTACGATGTTAGTTAAATTATGTGACATGCCTTGTTCTGGTCAATCTCTATATGTAATTCATTACTATGTTAAAAGTAATGAAATTAACCAGCGGGTGCTACTGTCCTGCATCTGTTTAAAATGTCTACATCAATGTCACTATAATAAGATTTATGCAGTGGATTAAATAATGCTTTATTGAATTCAAACATCGCCCTTGACATCCTATTATAGGTGTCTTCAGTTTCTACTGCAATACTTGCATTGAAGGCACTAATCATATTTTGTGTGTTTATCCTGTGTGTAATTATTGTTTTCTTAATCTTGATTTGAAACATCAGCTCCGAAATGATACACGCACTAAATTTAATTTTCGGGTCATATCCCGCCTGCTTTGCTTGATAATACAATGTCGCCAAATCATTGCGTGTTTGTATCATTGTGTATTCGTCCTGTTCGGTGTGTTTTAATATGTCATCCAGCTTTTCAATCATGATGCATTTAATGGGTTTGTCCCTATGGTTTAAATAAAAGTCGGTAGAAGCATTAACATTGACATCATACTCTCTCTCTCTCCTAATTCCTAAATTTGCCTTTAATTGGTTCAAGTCCTTGTTTAATGTATATATATATGGTCATTCTTTATCAATGCGAAGAATGTTTTACTATTGTGGTTTCTTTTTGGTGGGTCAAATGTAAAAATCAAATTACCCGCAACATCGAAACTTCTGGCGGAGATGGCATACTCTTTAAACACCTTGTTCATGTCTTCTATTGAAGCACCATGGCTTTTGAATTCCTCGTCTGTTTTGTCTATGAGTTTCAAAATACTCTCTCTGGTCATCTTCTTCATAT